AGGCCGAGTCTCAACGGTTCTCCAGGTCTCTCCGTTCCTCGGTTTTCCCCACGGCGAACAGTGGGTCCACCTGTGGGCCTAGGTCAACGAGTCATGGGTCTCCAGGGGTCTTCTTCCTCGGTTTCCCACGGTGGACAGTTGAGTCCACCTGGGTGCTCGGGTCTGAGTTCTGGTTCCTCCCAGGGTTCGTTCCCGTTCACACGGCGACCCTTGGAGAGGACCACTCTGGAGTGTGGTGTTGGATGGCTGGCCTGTTTGGTGTTTGCTTTTTAATTTTTTGTTTTGGTTTGTTTGCTCTTTTCTTTTACCCTTTCGAATCAACTTTATCAAAAATATAGTTTGAATGAATAATAAAATGCTATACAGTTTAAAGTGTACATTGAATGATTTTTTGTTTGTTTTCTTTTTGTGTTTTTTTTTGTTTTTTTTTTGAAAGACCGGTATCTCGCTCCTGTCCACCCAGGCTGGGAGTGCGCAGTGGGCCGATCTCAGCCTCAACTGCCAGGCTTTCTGCCTCCAGGGTTCCACCATTCTCCCCCTGCTCAGGCTTCCCACAGGTGCTGGGACTCAGGCGCCCGCCACCCCCCCACCCGAGCTCGCCCGGCTATTTTTTGGTATTTTTAGTAAGGATTGGGGTTTCACGTGTAGCAGGATGGTCTCCGATCTCCTGACCTCCGTGGATCTGCCATCTCCGGCTCTCCAAAGTGCTGGTATCAGGCCCTTTTAGCTACTACCGCGCCTGGCTCTTTGTGTTTTAAGAGAACTGAGTGGGTTTGCCTCTGTTGGCCCAGGCTTGAGTTGCAGTGGCATGATTCATAAGCTCACCCTGCAGCCTTGGACTCCCCTGGGGTAAAGCAGTCCTCCTGCCTCAGCTTTCCAGAGTCACTGGGACTACAGGTGTTGTGCCGCCCACACTAGAACAATTAAAAAACTTTTTTTTTTGTAAAAATACATCATACCTGTGTTGCCCAGGCTGGTCCTCGGATTTCCTGGCCTTAAGCATCCCCACCCTCAACCTCCAAGCCTGGGAAATTACAGCTGAAAACCATGTCCAGACAGTTTAAGATGATTTATTGATAAATAATATACTGCATATCAGTTCCTTTGAGAACAATTTTGTTTTTGTTTTTTGTTTGGTTTTTTGAAGAAATTGGTAAAAAAAAAAAAAAATCCCTCTCTGGGGTCAACCCCAAGGCTGGGGAAAGTGCCAAAGTGGGCCCGTGGGTATTTCTCGAAACTTCAACTGCAAAACTCCCCACAAACCCTCCCTGGTTTTCCAGCCGGATTCCTCCCCCCCTGGCATTTCAAACCTCCGAAGCAGCTGGGACCTACAGGTGCAACACACTAACTACCACGGCCTAATTTTTTGTATTTTAGTAGAGATGCGGGCTTTTCACCGATGTTAGCCAGGATGGTCTGTCCAATCCAGATCTCTGACTTCGTGGATCCCGCTCCACTGGCCTCCAAAGTGGCTGGGATTACAGGGCATGAGCACCGAACCTGCCTGAAACATCTGGTTTTAAATTTTTACTTTTGAGGCAAATCCCCAAGCACTGTGGGGAGGCATGAGGCGGGCAGATTCGCTTGTAAACGCGCCCAGTTAAAAAAGTTGGAGACCACCCTTAGGCAACAATGGACCAAAAAACCCCATCTGTACCCAAAAATTACGAAATTTAACTGGGTGTGGTGAATGGGTGCCCTATGAATCCAGCTACCAGGGGCTGAGGCAAGGAGAAATCGCTTGAACCTGGGAGTCGGTTGCAGTGAGCCCCTGACTGTGCCACTGGCACTGCCAGCCTGGGGGGTGCCAGTAGCGAGGACTGTCTCTCAAAAAGAAAAAAAAAACAGATGGGGAGGGTGGCAAATGCCTGGAATCTTCAGCTCCTAGGAGCAAGAGAATCCCTCCAAAATCTGGGGCGACGTTGCAACGTGAGTCCAGATTGCGCCATGCCTCCAGCCTGAGCTAACAGAGCAAGACTCCTGTCTCCAAAAAAAAAAAAAATGGTACACATGTTGCCACGCTTTCAGAAAGGACCAAGGTGAGCCTTCAGTCCCAGTTGCAGTTCAGGTTTTCCCCTGATGGATTATTACTCCGCTAAGCCTCACCAGGATCTCCTGTGCCACACGGGGGCCACAGGGAAATCCCTTTCCTGGTGCCAATCAATAAACGGGGGGGGGCCCTTTCCTGTTTGGCCCTCAACAGGGGGGCCCCACCAAGGAAAAAAAAAAAAAAAACATTTCTCCCTGTTGCCTTCTCAAAACCCAAAAAAAACGGGGGGCCCCCACCCAGGATCTTCCTGTGCCTTCCCTTCACCACGGGCCCACTCAGGGGAAATTTTCCTCAACCCCTGTGCTCCTCACCTACGGGGGCCACCAGATCTCCCTTGTGTCACACGGGCCCCACCAGGGTCCATCCTGCTGCCGCTCACCGGGGCCAACCCAGGAAATCTCCCTGTGCGCCCCCACCCGGCGGGCAACCAGCGATCTGTGCGCCACCCGGGGGCACCAGGATCTCCTGTGGGCCACTCCGGGGGCCAGGGCCAGACGAGGAGCCTCCGTGGGTTTTGCAGTAAGTGGCTCGTTTCACAGATGGTAACACAATCCCTCTCTGCACGGTCACGTTGTGATCGCGTTCAAGGGCCAGGGCCCCATTTAAATCTTCCTGTTCCCCCCTGACCTGACTGCAGCCCAGGGACCCTTGGCTGCCACCCCGTTCCTTGTCCCACCTTGTGTGTGTGGAAAGAGTTACTGTGTGTGGGAATGAAGCACCTCACGCTGCAGTAAATTTGTCCTTTCAGGAGACCTTGGTTCCTGTGGGGTTGAATGGAAAGGTGGTTGCTCATGTTTTTCTCTGAATCACAGAAAAGTGTGAACTTTTTTTCTTTGGAGTCGGAGTCTTGCTCTGTCGCCCAGGCTGCAGTGCAGTGGCCCAATCTCGGCTCACTGTAAGCTCCGCCTCCCAGGTGCACGCCATTCTCCTGTCTCAGCCCCCCAAGTAGCTGGGACTACAGGTGCCTACCACCACGCCCGGCTGATTTTTTGTGTTTTTAGTAGAGATGGGGTTTCACTGTGTTAGCCAGGATGGTCTCGATCTCCTGACCTCATGATCCGCCCGCCTCTGCCTCCCAAAGTGCTGGGATTACAGGCATGAGCCACTGCGCCCGGCCGAAATCTTTACTTTCAACTCTTTAGTCTCCTAGAGGCATGAAAGAGGCTCACGGCAGGCTCTCAGCAGAGCTGAGCTGTCTTGATGAGCGCTGCACATCGCCGGGTCTGAGCTTTGTGCGTGTGGAAGCGGCAGTGTTGTCCCTTCCCCTGTCTTGCTGGTATTTTGGGACATTGTGGAGTGCTCCAGGGCCCCTGCTGTGGACACACCATGTGGGCCTTTACCTTTAATTTGTACAGAGTCTTTGCATCAAGGAAGCACAGGTTGAGTGTGGCCTTCACTGCTCACTTTCTTTTCTTTAAAGTCCTCTGTTCTTTTTCCCTTCCTCCCTGTGTGGGAACCAGCCCCACAGCCAAGCTCTTCAGGATGTTGAAAAGGCCGTCATGGTGTTTGAGCATACGGGGAAAATCCCAGTTACCGTCATGGAGGCCAGGTAGGCTGGGCTGCCCAAAGGACCGCTGGTGGCTGCAATGTGTGCAGACTCCGCTCTGATGCCTGTCAGTGTCTTGGGGCTCTTCTGAGTGTGTCCCAGGTCTGCTCGGAGCCACATGGGGCAGGTTGGCCACTGTCGATTCATGGAGAGACAGGAGTCAGGGCTGTAAATGTCACATCGAGGATCCTGCCGTGAGGGGATACGGGCTGAGGTCAAGAGCTATACATTTGCCATGAAACATGTTTTCCTCTGTAAAAGCAGGTGATGCCCCCCAATGCTGAAACAGCTGACAGGAAGTGCTGATTGGGGAGCTTGCACTGGGAGGGAAGACAGTGGGGCCCTGATGATTTTTTTTATCAATGCCTTCTTCGTGACCAATATGGAGTCAGTAATAGCTGAATAGCACAGCTTTATTCAATTTGTTGTGATCCCAAAACATCTTGAATTCCGGTGGTTACCCGTGTGGATGAGCTGATTGCAGCTCCCAGGGTTTTGAAATTAGCTCCAAGGAAATTGCCCCAAATGGACCTTACATGGTCCTCATGGCCTCAGATTGATCCAGGCTCCACGTTCATGCCCGGGGAGCAGGCGGAATGTGGTCCTGCCCCACACATGCCTTGTCCCAGAACTGTGCGCAAGAAGGCTTCATAATGCATCGTGGCTTTGGAATAAGCCCTCGCGGTCCACTCTCTGAAACACCAGTCGCTGTCTGTGGGAATTGCCTTTTCGCTGCACTCACCTACGCACTGTCTGCTTCTCTGTGTTGCAGCATATTCAGGAGGCCTTACTACGTGTCCCACTTCCTCCCTGCCCTGCTCACACCTCGAGTGGTCAGTATGCGTCTCCATGAGTTCATGACCAGTTGTGTAGAAAGCAAGGACTTTGCTTGTCAGCCTCTCACAGGGCTCTTCTCTTCCCACAGCTCCCCAAAGTCCCTGACTCCCGTGTGGCGTTTATAGAGTCTCTGAAGAGGTATGCAGCCACGGCTGGAAGGGGACAGCTGTGCTTCCAGGTTTCTTCTGACAATGCGAAGATTTGTGGCTCTTCTGTAGAGAAATTTGATACAAAATATTGGCTCCAAAATTAGTTGGTTACTATTTTTTTTAAGACGGAGACTCGCTCTGTCACCCAGGCTTGGAGTACAGAGGCGAGATCTCGGCTCACTGCAACCTCCACCTCTTAGGTTCAAGCGATTCTCCTGCCTCAGCCTCCTGAGTAGCTGGGATTACAAGCCTGTGCCTGGCTAATTTTTTTTCAAAATTAGCCGGGCGCGTCGGCTCGGTGCGCGGCGCTCCTGCTAGTCCACTACCTTAGACCTGAGGCACCGCGAGCAATGGTGTGAACCCCCCAGGCCCTCGGGTAGCCCGAGCTTACAGTGAGCTTCGAATCCGCAGCCACTGCACCTCTAGGCGCCTGGGCGCAACCAGAGCCGAGAACTCCATCCCCTCAAAAAAAGTAAAATAAATATGAATAACAATAAATCCAAATAAACTACTGGCATTTGGATTTTGCGTGTTCTTGGGCATATCAGCGTCGATTCCCCCTGTAGCAATCTTGGCCTGCTTCAACATCAGGGCGTCTTATTGCCCCCTCAATACAGTGACATTGCCGAGGCAGCATTTCAACCTTTTTGTGATCTCCCTGAAACAATTTTGGTTTGCGTAGAGATCCTTTGTGTTTTAAAGGTTTGATAAATCCCTGGATGCAACAGGCAGTCCCTCGGCGGGGCTCGTGTCTTTTTTGTCTCTCTGTTTTAACAGAACAGTCTCCCTCTTGTTGCGCCCCAGGCGAATACAGTCCGGCACAATTTCGGCTCACTGCAGCCCCCACCCTCCCTGTTTTGCCAGTGCGCGATGTCCTGGGCCTCAGCCTCCGGCTGAGTAGCGCGGATTCCAACAGCGGCACGCCACCCAGCCACTCAGCTAATTTTCTGTACTCTTAGTAGAGATGGGCGCGTTTTCGCGCCCATCCTTGCGCCAGCGATGCGTCTCCGATCCCTCCTGACCCTTGATGACTCCCAACCACCTGCCTCAGCCTCCCAAAGTGCGGGATTACAAGGTGTACGCCAGCCCGGCCGCGCCCTGGTCAAATTTAACTCATACTATACGTACCTAGCCTCACATATACTATACCGTAGTATTCTAACCTCTCTGATACCGCGCCAGTTTTGCTCTGTTGCCATCAGCCCCTCGGAGTAACAATGTCGTTACCTCTCCGCCTCACCCCGCAACCCTCCCGCCCCCGGTTCACTGCGACTCCTCTCTGCGTCCAGCCTCCCCAGTCAGCATGGATCCACCACGGCCGCGCCACGCCACCAACCCGCCCCCCAGCTAATTTTCGTAATCTTAGTTGAGACGCGGGCTTTCTGCCCATGCTGGCCCAGAATGTCCTCATAAGCCCCCAAAACTCCCAGGTGATCCCTGCCTCAGCCAACCCAAGTGCCAGCGAATTACGGCGGGAGGCCACCCAAACCGCCCTCGCCCCAAGCTCTGCCCATAC